GAGCACCCAACTTGGAAGCCACAGGCTTTTTACAACCTAATCTTGGAAGTGACATCTAATCATTTCTGCCATATACTATTCATTAGAAATGAGTCAATATTTCCATTCAAGAGGAGGGGATTGTACAAGGGCATGAGTACTAGGAGACTGAGGGGATTACTGAGGGTCGTCTTAGAAGCTGCCTATTACAAGTTTCTTTACTGCAGGAATTGTTAAGTATTTAATATGCTATTTGTCATTGTGAACATCTAAGGGGGATAATATAGTAAGCTGTCTTTCCAAACTATTTAATCTTGGAATCCTTCCATCTGCTTTTCTTCTGCCCATTTATGTTGTGCTTACTGTTCTAAGGACTTCCTGCTCAAGGTGTGATCCTTGGATCAGGAAGTTTGTCAGAAACACAGAATCTCAGACACTACCCTGATCCAGTAATTACTGGTAATATTTCTTATTACGGAGTCTACTTTGGTGTTAACATAGCCACTCACCTTTCTTTTGATTGGTATTTATATGGCATATCTTTTTACACCCTTTCCTTTTTAACCTATCTATATCTTTATATTTAAAGTGGGTTTCTTGTAGACAACACGCAAATCATCTGAAAATGTCTGCCATTTAATTAGGGTGTTGAAGCCATTTATATTTAATGTAATTATTGATACGGTTGTATTTAAATCTACTATCTTTTTGTTTTCTATTCATAAATATGCTCTTTATCCTTTTTTCACTATATTCTGGCCTTCTTTCAGATTATTTTTTCATTTTATCCCCACTATTAGTTTGTTAGTTATACCTCTTTTAAAAAGATTTTAGTGGTTGCATTAAGGTTTATAATACGTATCTTTAACTTATCACAGTATAACTTCAAGTACTATTAAATCACTTTATGTATGATATAAGAACCATATGATAGTATACTTCCATTTCCTTCCTCTTATCCTTTGTAGTATTGTCATGCATTATAACTCTAAAGGTAATGTAAGCCTCATAATCCATTGCAACTATTTGTGCTTTAGATGATTATCTTTTAATATGATTAAAAGGTTATATATATTTTCATTTGTATCATGTCTAGAGCTATTTATGTCTGTGTGTAGATCCAAATTTCCATCTGTTATCATATTCCTTGTGAGTGAAGAACTTCGTTTAACATTTCTTATAGTGAAAGTTCACTGGAAAAAAAAAACAAAGCCACATTTGTCAGCATTTTTGAAAGATATTGTAGCCAGGTATAGAATTGTGGATTGACAGTATTCTTTTCTTCCACTACTTCAAAAATATATCTACATTCTCTTTGGCTTATTTGGCTTCTGACAAGAAGTCTGTTGGAAATTTTTATCTGTCTTTCTATATGCAACATACTACTTTCTCTGACCTCCTTCAAGATTATCTCGTTATCTTTTGTTTTCATTAATTTGGTGAAGTTCTCAACTTTATATCTTCAAATATTTCCCCTTACCTCATTCTTCTTCTCCCCTCCTTCTGGGATTCCAATGATATGTTTGTTAAACCACTTAATATTTCTTAAAGCTCTTAGATGCACTGTGTTTTTTAGTTTTTATTTTTTTATGTTTCAGTGTGTATAATTTCTTTCTTTCTTTCTTTCTTTTTTCTGGTGGCTGGCCAGTACAGGGATTGAACATTGGACCTTGGTGTTATCAGCACCATGCTCTAACCAACCAGTTTGGATAATTTCTATTCTCCTATATTCAAGTTCAATAGTTCTTTCCTCAGCTGTGTCCAATCTACTGATAAGCCCATTGAAGGAATTCTTCATCTCTGATAATGTGCTTTTAATTTCTAGTATTTTCATTTCACTTTTTAAATAAGTTTCATCTCTTTGCTGAAGTTCCCTGTGTGTTTATGCATATTGTTTACCTTTTCTATTAGATCCTTTAACATATTAATCATAGCCCAACATATGGATCATATCTGAATTTGGTTCTGTTTTATCTCTTGAAAATGGATTGTTTATTTTTTCTGACTTTTTGGGGTGTCTTGTGATTTATGATTGAATGATGGCTATCATATGTAGGAAAGTAGTAAAGACTGAGGTAAATAATATTTATGCCCAGAAATGGACATGCCTCTTCTTCTGTCAGGTCAATAGTGTGAGCAGTTGAGTCAATCTAGTCAGGAATTGAGCTGAGTTGGAGTTTATCGTTATTATCACTATCTTCCGTATACCACAATTTGTTCAAATTCCTCTAGCAGGGGGTTGCTCTTACCTTGTCTTAGTGTGGGGCCTGGAGTGCCGGGGAGTTTTTCTCAGTGTCCTTCCTCTTTTAGTAGTCCTTGAATGCCTGTGTTACAGAGAGGTCCTCCTCCACACTCTTTTTCCTCCTCACTAGTAGACTGGTATATTAGTCCATTTCTTATTATTTTTTTTTTTTGTCTTTTTCCGTGTCCGGCAATGGATCGCAACCCTCAGTGTCGCCCCCGTACCGGACCGGGACCAGCAATGAGATCGCAACCCTCGGTGTTGCTCCCGCGCCTCGCTCAGCCAGTGAGCGGCCGGTCTGTATGTGGGATCCAAACCCTCGGGCGGGAGCGCCACCACGCTTCCCAAGTGGCGCACTATCCAGTGCGCCACTGGGCCGGCCCTGTATATTAGTCCATTTCTGTTGCTTATAACAGAATACCTGAAACTGGCCAATTTACAAAGAAACAAAATTTATTTCTTACAGTTTTGGAGGCTGGAAAATCTGTGGTCCATGGGGTGCATCTGGTGACGGCCTTCTTTTTTGGTGGTGACTCTCCACAGCAATGCAGACTGTTACATAGCAAGAATGGTCTGAACAAGAGCGCTAACCTTCTCACTTTTTCTCCTTTTAAAGCCATTAGAACCACACCCATTACTCCATGAATGGATCAATCTATTCACAAGGGCACAATCCCCACAATCTAATCACATATTACAGGACCCATCTTTCAGATACCATAATTAGATTGGGTCCAGTTTTCAATACATGAACTTTCGGGGGACACATTTAACGTAAAGCAGCTGGTGCTGTTTGTTACTGATGCTTTCCTCATGGTGGGGTAAGGGGTTCTCTATACTCAATACTCCTGGTCCAGCCTTGATCTTAGGTGGGACCTGTGCACCTCAATCTTAGACGTGAGGCTTTCTCAGTATTTTTGCCTCTTCTCCACCGCAGCCAATTCCTTCTTTATATTTGTGGTGTGTCTTGAGTGAGAGAGCAGACAACCTCTACCTCGCATCAGTTCAGGATAGAGTGGTAGTGTTTCCTGCTCCTCCTCCAATGGCTAAGATTTTTATATAAGAAAGGTTTGGGGAAGTTACGTGGGGTTTCATGATTGCTCCCCAATATCATTTCCTAAAATTTTTGTCACCTCTTGTAAGATACGTATTGCTATCCTGTAGAGAGGAATGTGGTGTTTCAATATAGCTTCTATACAGATACTTACTAAGGATTCAGTACATGAATAGCACTTTAAATATTTAGAACGTTGCTGCCTGCTCTTTTATTTCCTTGCCAGATGCATCTGCAAGAAAAAACATTGGTCATTGAACAATCCACATGTTTCTTTTAGACACTTTCCTTAGGGCCGTCCAAAATTAAATCAAATCAAAATGAACATGGTTAGGTCAAGAAACTGTCTTCCAAGAAGCAAGTGCACACCTCACATTGGGAAGAACTGGATAACAGTCTGCTGTTTCCCTGGAGACAGTCTGCAGGGGTCACACATGGTGGGAGTTTGAGTAATGATGGTTTATTTTTAAAAATCATTCTCTTGAAGAGTCCCTTACAAGGAAACTTCTGAGCTTTTTAAAAGCCATATATGGTATACACATGGTGCCAAGGGTTTAAGGGCAGTTGTTTAAATCTCACTTTGAGGCCAGGGAAAGCCCAGTATATCCTACTCAGATCTTTAGGAAAAATGAGGCTTAACTATTTTTAAGAGGATGATTTCTGCCACATTGGGTTCTCTAAGATATCTCAGCAGAAGACAGAATTGAAGAGGAAATGACTTTTGGTCCTAGTTAAGTGTTAAGTGTGGAATATTGAATCACACGGTTTCCAGGGCCTGAGGAGGGTCTGTTCTTAAATTAAAAAAATAAATAAAATACACACACACACACACACACACACACACACACTCACACACCTTTCCTAATTATCAATATTAAGACCACTCAGAATATATCTTTTTTTTTTAACAGAGCTAATTTGAAGGGATATCTAGTTGTTATATTGGTGAAGGAACATTTTACAGCTCCTTCGTAATCTAAAATGTCGTGTGTTTATGAGCTTAGATAAACAAGTCAATATTATTTAAGCAGCCAAATTTCCAATTTGTTATTGCCTGTTACAAAAAAAAAAAAAAAAGGAAAAATGAAAACAGAATGGTAAAATAAAGAAACTGGCTTTTATTTATTAAAAAAAGGGTTTGCAGAGAGCCTTCCCGTTCATGGACTGTCACTCAGGAGCTCTGAGAACTCAGCCCCAAAGCCCGCAGGTCACGGGTCAGGCGAGTTTGAGGAAAACTCACTGGAGAGTGGTCCCCTGCGCTCCCCAACCCCCGCCCCTGGCGCCGACAACTGGGGGACAGTGCCCTGCGGCCCCCAGAAGAAGACGTGCCCGAGGCCGCAGGCGGAAGCGCACGCGTCGGGCCGACTCCTCCTCCGCCCCGGGAGGCGGGGCCTCCGCCTTAGTAGCGCGCGCGCCTCGCCGCCCTCCGCCTCCCTGAGGCCGCGCGCCATTTCTGCAGCTTTCGGCCGAGCCGGCCCCCAAGGGCGCGGGCCGC